AGCATTTAAACAGCATTTCAATTCAAAACAGAGAAACAAAAATAATATCCCTGGCCAAAATTGGGCAGACTTAAACACAAAATGCTGTTTTAAGTACCTTATGTACATTTTCAAAATGGTATTGTTTTTAAATAATAATAATAATAAAAAATTCAACATAAAGTGCAGTTTTTCTTCTTAAAAATAGGGCAGAAAAATAAAAGGTTATTTGACCTGCTTCACCTTTAAACTCTGAGTAACCTTAGCCAATATTATTTTGTACATTAGGCTAAAATAGTTTGATCATCAAAACCTTTAGTGCAAAAAATAACAAACCCGTCGGACTCACAATACCTCCATGCTTATTTACTGCCCATCTCTTTCAGCCAGTTACTTAGACAAACTAGCCTTTTCTTATTTTCAGAGCTCAAGGTGCTTTCTTTTTTGTTACTATGTGACCTGCAAGTGAGAACAGTTTCTCACATGGGACAGAAGTGGCAGGACTAATCAAATATTTGCGGGCCAGGACAGACAGCTGAAGGTGGGTCCCTGCTTGACTGGACCACCACTGCACCAGGCAGTCTTTCTCGCTGATGGTGGATTCTGCTCTTTACAAACTCAGGGCCCTGTTACACATGGCTTCCTAATCTGAATCAGAGTCTGAAGACAATGAAGAGAAGATGAAGAACCTTGTCTTTGCTGGCTCCTTTGTGCTGGCATTTTTACACTGTTCCTGCAGCAGGGCCTCAAGGCTGGTCCAAACCTCTTCTCACTCTCCCCTTGCAAAGCACTTTAAATCCTTAAAGTGTGGGTCAAGCACAGTAGCTATCTTGAGCCACTGGTTGTTTGAGTGTAGCTACATGTTGGATAGGTCCTCTGAACATGAGACATATGTCTCACCTCTAAGAAGCTCAGTCACAAACCTGTAGTAGACAGTTCAAGAAAGTAATTTTTCACAAACTTTCAAATCTAGAACTTTTTGAAGAAACTGTAACAATACGTTAAAAGAGAGTTTATTTACCTGCATGGCTCAAGGACAGTTGCCAGCTCGTGGAGTTTTACAAGCTCTGATGGAGTTAAAATGACTAGTTTGTGAGCAGCAAAAACAGCCTCTTGATTCTTCAGTAGACGCGAAACCATATCCAGCGTTGAATTCCACCATGTGGAAACATCCTGTATGAGAGGCTCTTTCTGTTGCCCCAGTCTTGTTTGCTCTTTGTGTAGTTAATCCATAGTAGCAGGGCTGTCTGTGATGAAAGAAATGTTCTTGCTTTTCAGTGTCATAAAGCTGTTGAATTTTACTTGAAATAGTCTTTGGAAAGTTGGATCACCTGACGCTAATTGTAGGACATTTTTTAACCCCCTATCTTCTACCACTGATAGTGGTCTACAGTCCAGAGCAATCAATTTTGCAGGAGAATTTGTAAGTTTGTCCGATGTTGACTTACTAATTTTGGTCCGTAAGCCAGTCATTTCATCAAGTTTGGGATGCCGACACCTTTTGTTGATACTTGGTGATTGGTGTTAGAGCTAATAGCTCCCACAGTTTTTGTGCTCACTGCAACATGTTTTGCATTAAGATGGCACCATAAGGTTGAAGTGCTTTGGTGGTATGCAAACTCCTTTTTTCACAGTTTGCACAAAACCACACTTTTATCGAGGCTTTGCTCAGGTAGTCTTTTGAAATGAAAATTGCCTCCGATAAGTCCTAGTAATGCGCTTTCTTCTGATTCTTTGTAGCACTGATGTGTAAATCAGTGCAATCGGTATACAAGGAAATCGTGCATTAACAAAAGTTCTCCTTTGCTTGGAATCCAAAGTGCAATTAAATGCTTTTTTTTAATGCATTATTTTTTTTTTTAATTAATACATGCAATTAATGAGTTAAAGTCCCATCCCTAGTTTTTAGTGTTTTTTTTTAAAGACACCACTGAGTCCACAGATCTCAAGCTCAAAGGCAGAGAGTTCCAAAATTTGGGGGCCACTGTTACTAAAGCTTTGTCACTTTTCAGCCTAGTATGATGGACAACCAGCAAGCCGTGATCACATGGCCTCAGGGACCTGCTGGGGATGTATGGATGTAAAAGATCTCTGACGTATGTTGGTGCTTGTCCATGCGGAGCTCCAAATGTCAAGCTGGATCAGCAGGAGTATGACATGCGAGTAACTGGAAAACTTGGTCAGAAGCCTTGCAACAGCATTCTGAACAACCTCATGGTTTGGTTGATTAATAGGCTGGTGTGAAAAGTTGCTGCTACACCGACCCTCGGCCTGTGCTTTGAGAATTCTGATAGTTAGTATGACTCAGGGGTGTTGATTCATTTAAACTAACATAATCATCCTGCTGTAGCAAGGTTTCTGTAAGGCAGAGTAAATCAATTTGTTGATCAATTATTAACTCATGTACTAACAGACACTTGGAAGTGAGAGACCTAATGTTTAATTTCACTTTTTTACTCTTTGGTACAGATTTGGATAGTGAATTGTTCTTTCTTTGTGATTTTTTAAGTCGTAGTAGTTAGTTAAAGTTGTTTTTTGCTGGTTTTAAGTTTGTTTATTGTCCGATTGGGAACTGACACAGTCTCTGGAGTTTTGGGGGGATGACAGGAGGAGAGAAGCTGCAGAGAGGCATGTAAGACTGCAACTCTGCTTCTTGGTCCTAACTCTGGGTAGACATGTCCTTCTCTCCCCATCCCCAGTTGCCTCCCTCCTCCCACCTCATCTCTGGTACCGGTGCCCACTTCTCAATTTTAAATACATGTAGACGTTGAGGGCTCTGAAGGGGCCGTGCTGACACCAGCTGCTATCTGGCAGAGAGTCATTGGTACCATGCCCTTCCCATATTTTAAATGCACTTTAGAACAGCACACTGGAACACCACATATGAGCAGGTAGAATGAGTTATGGGGTCTTCACACCCCTGTTCTCAGTTTGCCATCTGGGGCTGGGGGCCTTTACTTAAACGTAAAAAATAAAATAAAATAAAGAAAGAAATAATAAAGAAACTATGACAATCAAGTGGACCAGTATGGAAAAAGCTGTAATGATCCACTTAGGAAAGTAAATCGGTTGGGCATTTTTCTTTGCCATCAGACAGTAATTCTGATTCCTACAGTGCAGGACAGGACAGGCCAAAAAAAGAATAAATGACAGTATTCACTGATTAAAGTGTTCTTATCAAAGAGTTGAGCATTTGTGAAGGAAAAGTCATATTTATCTCCTGATCTTAATTTTTTCTTTCTTTTTTCTTTCAACAATTCAGTTAGAAATGCCACAGCTGTCTATTATTCAAACCTTGTTACAAAGATTAAGGGTAATCGTAAGGTCTTACTTGACAGCATTACTGATATTGTTACCCCTGTGCTACCTGCTGTCTCAGTGTGTTAAAATGAACATTAAGATATTCTTGTTTCTTTATAAGCAGAAAAAAATCAGTGATGTTTGATGCTAAAGACAAAATGTTTTTCCTTTAGCATCTTTGTTGGCTGTTCCTGCTCCAGTTTGACATGTTATATTAATTTTTTTTTTATCTGTTTCTTAAACTGAGCTGGTTAAATTAGTTGACTCAGTGAAAGCATCCTTCTGCTCGCTTGATGTTTTACACATCTCTGTCCAAAAATCTCTTTCGGTCTATATGTGTCCATGTGCTGACTATAATTAAAACATAACTGGTCTCTGGTCAAGGTCCTACTTATTTTAAGGCTGTCCTCCAACCACTTACATAAAGAAATAGCTGACGTTTGTTTTGTGCTGGTAATGGAAGATCTTGGTCTCCTTGCCGCATTTGCTAACTCTTAAAGCAGGATCTGCTGGCTAGACATCATAAGAAGCTGAAAACTAAAGGACAAAGAGCTTTTGAAACCTCTAGACTCTGGGCTGTCCCTGTCTAAGATGAAGATCTCTGAATTTGGTGGTCTCTTTTTTAAGACTTGCATTTGGTTAACTTTTCTTTTCATGTTCTGGAATTAATTGTGAAGCATTTTGTGAGGTTTATTTTGAAAGGTGCTATTAAATAACATTTTATTTACTTACTTGCCACGTTGGATCAACCACAAGACTATTAATTCTTCCTTTATATTGACTAAAAAATATAAAATTTAAATTAACAAAACAAAAACACACAAAAGAGCTGAGTCCTTGTTGATAACTAATTAACTTGCAGTGTTATCGAGGTCTACCTGCATACAAACGTAATCTCAAATGACATGTCCTTTAGGTCCTGACACTGCTCCTTGTTTTTCCCTTATGGGTGGTATGCAAGATTAGTCAACACAGCATGTCAATAAAAGGGAATGGCAAAACAATAAAACCTAACGACTAGACTCAGAAAGTCAGAAAGCTGTCATGTGGTCATTATTACAAACCAACTTGCTCTTATTCATTTTGCTGTATTTCTATTTTTCTTCTGCTGTAGCCTCTTCTCTGTTTCCCTCCTCCTGTCAGTTACAGAGACAATTTCATCTAAATGGCATGCACAAGAGTGGAGATGTCATTCTGGGTGGACTGTTTCAAGTCCACTTTTTTTCAAGCGTTGCTGACCTGTCTTTTACCTCACAGCCACAACAGCCTACTTGCCATGGGTAAGTATGTCAGGGAAAAAAGTGAAAACAAAAGCGAAAACCTATTATTGATATGCATCTTATATCTAGTACTCTCTGCATTAATACATTTGAAAAAATGCCTTGTCTGGAATGAAACATCTTCTTTGTATTTTTTTTGTCATTAAAAATCCCTTTAATTGTGGTTTATAACAGTATTTGTGTAACATGTTTTCCAAGTATTCTGTTGTATTTTTCTTTGTTAGTTTTTATGAATTAGGATTTAGGCAGGCACAAACCATGGCCTTTGCTATTGATGAGATCAACAGAAACTCCAACCTGCTGCCAAATGTCACTCTTGGATATACTCTTTATGATAACTGTGTCACACTTGGAATTGGATTCCGTGCAGCATTGTCATTAGTCAGTGGTCAAGAGGAAAACATTATATTAGATAATAGATGTACTGGAAATCTTCCAGTCATAGGGATTGTGGGTGATTCTTCCTCTACACATTCTATTGCCATTTCCAACGTCTTAGGTTTGTACAGAGTACCCATGGTAAGTGGTCTTCTTAATCTTGTAATAGATACCTTGTATTATTTTGATTTCATAGCAAATATAAAGCCACTTAATAATAGAGCTAACATGATAAAAATAATAAAGGAGTACAGACTTTGGATATTTATACATAATGTGTATTTTTCACAGGTGAGTTATTTTGCCACTTGTTCCTGCCTAACTGACCGTCAAAAGTATCCATCCTTCTTTAGAACAATACCAAGTGATGCTTTCCAGGTCAGGAGCACAATTTCACATTTGTCACTAAATTATTAATGCAACAACAGAAGTATTTTCAGGAATAAAATACCTGTTTTTTAACAGAATGTATAATGATGTAAAAAACTAAAAATTCTACCTGTGTGCTGTGGAAGTTGATCTGCAAATACTGGTATGAAAGATTTGTTTGTCTTTGCGCTCACCCTTTAATTTGTATTTACATAGGTACGTGCTATGATTCAGATTCTAAAACACTTTGGCTGGACTTGGGCAGGTCTTCTTGTCAGTGATGATGATTACGGACTTCACGCAGCCAGATCTTTGCAATCTGATCTCAGTCTGTCGGGTGAAGGATGCCTGGCTTACTTCGAGATTTTACCCTGGGACAAAGACATGGATGAACTCAGGAGGATTGTGAATGTGATGAAAATGTCCTCAGCTCGAGTTGTCATTGTCTTTGCACATCATAGTCGCATAGTAAACCTTATGGAAGAGGTTTGGGTTTAAAACAATTTAATTATTACTAGTTGCAAGAATAAAAATCATTAGACTGTGCAAAACATGTTTTATATGTCTGTGTGAATGTGTAGTAAAAACTAGTCATGTAGAATTAATTTGCATCATGAGCATCTACTGCATCTACTGTAATATTATGTCACTAAAGTAGTTTTGAGCTACAATATAACATTACAGATTTTGTATAATACAATGCACAGGTAGTGAGGCAAAATCTAACTGGCCTACAGTGGATGGCCAGTGAAGCCTGGACAGAAGCTACTGTGCTCCAAACACCTCAGCTCATGCCATATCTGGGTGGAACACTGGGCATTGCAATTCGTCGAGGAGAAATACCAGGGCTCAGGGAATTCCTCTTACAAATACGTCCTGACCTACATCACAATAACAGCTATGGAAATAGCATGGTGAGAGTTGAACTCTTTCTTATCATATGTCCAAGATGTATATATTTTTTATTATTTGTAAAAATAATTTTCAATAAATTTCAGGTGAATCAGTTTTGGGAATTCACATTTAAGTGCAGATTTGCACCAGCTCCAACAGGCTGGGTAGAAGGTAGAGGTACATTATGCACTGGAGAGGAAGATCTGGACCATGTGGACTCTGAGTTTTTGGATATTTCCAACCTCCGGCCAGAATACAATGTGTACAAAGCTGTATATGCTTTAGCATATTCCCTTGATGACATGTTACGGTGCAAGCCAGGAAGAGGACCTTTCCGTGGCCACAGCTGTGCCACATTGCAAACATTGGAACCGTGGCAGGTTTGATATCAAATTGCACTCCATTAAATGAGAAGATCTTTTGCCCTATAATAACTTTCAGAACAGAATGCACACAGTAGAGTAAATACGAAAGACAAACCATGAAAAAGTTTGAATGAGCTAAAAAGATGTTTTCATCCTTCTGAACTGGAGTAATGGTTAATATATTTAGATCTGAGAGATCATAAACCAGTAGGCATATACAGCAGTATTAGTGATGTGCGATCTTTGATTTTGAGTTAGATTGTAATAATTTTATATGTTTATATAAATCCAATTTAATGTTATATTTGATTATTTCATACCAGGTGCCACTGTTTGCACTATGAAAAAATAATTTATTTATTATAAATCCCTTTCTAACAGCTTATTTATTATTTGGAAATGGTCAATTTTACCACTCCATTTGGTGATCAAGTGTCATTTGATGAGAATGGTGATGTGGTGCCAATTTATGATGTGATGAACTGGTTGTGGCTCCCTGATGGACACATTAAAATTCAAACTGTGGGTGAGGTTAAGAGGTCTGCTTTCAAAGGTGAAGAACTCATACTTGATGAAGACAAAATCTTCTGGAACTTTGAATCCAAAAAGGTTAGATTTGGTTTTTAGACTTTTATATTTTGGCACATATATGTATTACATAATATATGTAATTCTGGCAGGTAATATTTAATTTCATCCTATAGCCACCTCGATCAGTATGTAGTGAGAGCTGTCCTCCTGGTACCCACATGGTGAGAAAGAAAGAGGAACCCAAATGCTGTTTTGACTGCATCCCTTGTTCTGAGGGAAAAACCACTAACAAGAGCAGTGAGTTTTTATCTTTTACTGCTGCATATTTAATTAGATTCATATTAAACATAGTATGTATGATACCATCTTCCCCCTTTTTGTAGATTCCTTGGAGTGCACCAGTTGTCCAGAGGATTTTTGGTCAAACCCCCAGCGTGACCACTGTGTTCCTAAGAAGACAGAGTTCCTCTCCTACCATGAACCTCTGGGTATTTGCTTGACAGCAACTTCACTGCTGGGAACATTTATATGTGTTATTGTTCTAGGAATCTTTTTCTACCATCGCAGAACACCTATAATACGTGCCAACAATTCAGAACTTAGTTTTCAGCTATTGCTGTCACTCAAGTTGTGTTTCCTTTGTTCACTGCTGTTCATTGGACGACCTAGGCTGTGGACATGCCAACTCAGGCATGCAGCATTTGGGATCAGCTTTGTGCTTTGTGTCTCATGCATCCTGGTAAAAACCATGGTTGTTCTGGCTGTGTTCAAAGCCTCCAAGCCAGGAGGGGGAACCAGTCTGAAGTGGTTTGGTGCTATGCAGCAGAGAGGAACAGTTCTGTTTCTTACATCTATTCAGGCAGCCATTTGCACTACCTGGCTTGTTTCTTCCTCTCCAACTCCACATAAAAACACCCAATACCACAATGATAAAATCATTTATGAGTGTGCAGTTGGGTCAACTGTTGGTTTTGCAGTGTTATTGGGCTATATTGGCATGCTGGCTTTCCTCAGTTTTCTAATTGCATTCCTGGTGAGGAATCTCCCTGATAGTTTTAATGAGGCCAAGCTCATCACATTCAGCATGCTGATCTTCTGTGCTGTGTGGGTGGCCTTTGTTCCTGTTTATATCAGCTCACCAGGAAATTATGCAGATGCAGTGGAGGTATTTGCCATCTTGGCCTCAAGTTTTGGACTCTTGGTCACACTGTTTGGACCCAAATGTTACATAATCCTGTTGAGACCAGAGTTGAACACAAAGAAAGCTATAATGGCTCGCCGCAATGGAACACAGATTTTTTATATACAGTAGAAAACATCCAGATATTTTTTTTCATTTAAGCTTATACGCAACTAAAAAAAATACATTGTCTAAATGAACAAAGCAATAAATATGGTTTCATACTGTTATGTTATATTCCAGGGTATTTGGTCTTTCTGGAACTGATGTTCACTGAGAAACATATAGTGGGGCAAAACCGTATTTAGTCAGCCACCAATTTTGCAAGTTCTCCCACTTAAAAAGATGAGAGAGGCCTGTAATGTTCATTATAGGTATAGCTCAACTCCCTCCAGCTTTGGACAACAACAACAAGAACCCCCCCTCCCCTTCCCACACACACTAACTCACTTCTTCCTGCATCACAACCAAACATGTATCTTAAAGAAACAACAACAGTGCACAGAGATAGCCAACCTAACACAGTAAAATAAGTTTTAACCTTTGTACCAAGGTTTACCAAACTCGTCAATCCTGGGATCCCTGTGGCAGACCGAGCGAGGGATAAGCTGCACCCTCTTCCCTTCAGGGAGTATTAGAAAGCCTTTGCCCAGGTCCAGTACACCACTGATGGCTTGCAAAAAGTCCAGTCCAAGGATGCAGGCGTACTGCACGCCAGCCACCCAGACAGCGTAAGGTACACCGAGGTCTCCCACCTTAAACTGGAACATTCCCCTCCCTGTAATTGGGGCCAGGTCACCAGTCACAGTTCTAAGTTGCACATTACTTGGTTGCACAGCTCCAGTTGGGACGATATCAGGTCGGACCAGTGTTGCATTGGACCCCGTGTCCAGGAGGACCATACAGGACACCCCTGCAATCGTCACCGGAACATGGCAAAAGTCACCAGCCTGGGTCCAGCCCACAGCAACGACTGCACTGGGTGGTAATGGAGGTGGTGTGGGGGTGTCGGTCTCCCTGGCCTTTGTACTCCCACCTACATGGTCCCTTGGCCACTTCCCGTGGCGTCCTGCGTTTTGACCTCAGTTTATCAGTTTATTAAATAAGTACAGGCAAACAGGCCGTTATTCCCGGGGAGAGTCTTCTGGTACAACCCACTTCCTCCAGCTCCGGACAAAGGCAACAAGAACCCCCCTCCCTTTCCCGCACACACTAACTCACTTCTTCCTGCAGCACAACCAAACATGTATCTTTAAAAAAAAAACAACAGTGCACAGAGATAGCCAACCTAACCTGGGGTGGCTGTAGCTCAGGTGGCAGGGCAGGTCAGCCACTAATCAAAAGGTCAGTGGTTCGATCCCAGGCTGCCACCTGGCTGCATGTCAAATATCCTTGGGCAAGATGCTAACCCCACGTTTGCCTACTGGTGGTGGTCAGAGGGCCTGGTGGCGCCAGTGTCCAGCATCCTCGCCTCTGTCAGTGCGCCCCAGGGCAGCTGTGGCTACAAAGTAGCTTGCCATTCCCAATGGGTGAATGACTGAATATAGTGTAAAGCGCTTTGGGGTCCTTAGGGACTGAATAAAGCACTATACAAATGCAGGCCATTTACCATTTTTTTCTAACACAGTAAAATAACCTTTAACCATCATTACAGTGTGTATACTAATCTGCTAAAACATAAGCTCTGCTGAAACATAAGGTCTGCTCCAATTTCAATGTACAATGCCCAACTACAGCTACAATAAAGGAATCTTTATCTTTCATGATATAAATTATTAAATAACTAAGGATTTAGGATTAAGATTTAAGAATTATAAACTAATTGTCAGGTCTGGGATGGCAGACCAGGTGGAGTGCAGAAAGAGTGGACCCACATGCAGACAATGGAGACGGAACTGGACCGTAAAGCAAGACTTTTATTTTCGACTGCACAAAATACAAAATAAAGAGAGACTAAGATTAAACTAACAAAAACTAAAATGGGAAAACCTAAACACTAAACACTAGGTACACAGAACGTGACATGTGAGAACATGAAACCTGAAACCCGAGGCCTCTGGCTGGGATGAGGCAGGACCCAATGGTCTAGATGGCGGAGACAGAGCAGACAGGGTAGTCCATGGCAGATGGCGGTGATGTATGGCGTTATTTTTGTGCCACTATTCTGAGCGCACGAAAAAAAAATTGAGGGCACGTAAAAAAAAATTGCAGGTGCAACAGGTGCAAGTGTTGCATTTTGAGGAGAAATTTATTTTGAGCGTACAAAAGCTGAATTTGAGTGAACAAAATTCATTGCTGCGTGCAAAAAACGTATTTCAGTGTTTGCGCTTATCCATATACACACACAATAGTACCCCCTCTCGCTCAGTTTTTTCATTTGTGCTTGCCCGCAATGTGTTGCTTGCGCTCACAACATTCTCTCCTTCGTACGCTCAACTCTCTGTACACCGTTATAAGTGTGCCACAAAACCAACCAATCACAGACTTGGTTTCAAAAATTCTGATTGGCTCTTACGGTCTCCAATCAGCTCGCTAGCTACTGCCTTCTTGCAGATAGAGGGATTTTTGATTTACTCTGCAGCTAAAGAAGAGATGGCAGAATCAAACAATGGCTCCAATAATACTACACCACAGTATCAGGTGAGTTTAAATTTTTTTTTGTGAATTTAGTAATTTGCTGTCCTTTCTGTTTAATATGCTGTGAAATTGTAGTTACAGATGCAGCTGTAGAGTTTAAGCTAGCCTTATGGGTAATTACCAGCGTAGTTGTCTTACTGAGGCAGTGTATCCTAATCATGTTTTTTAGGGTAATGGTGCAGTTGAGTCAACAGTAAGAAATCTGGTGTCTTTGCTGCTTAACAACATGTCCACAAATCCTTCAGGGAGGCCAACAGAGAGTGGGCAGCCGGAGCCTAGAAATCTGACTATCCAGCAAGAGATGACATGGTTTTTGCTTGTTTTGTGTGGGGTTTTTTTGGTTTTTTTTTTTTTACTTTTTGCAATCTTTTCTGTTAAAGTTATTTGGTTTGTGGATTTATCAACATTGATTTTTAAATTAAAATGTGCTATTAAGGACTGATGTCATATTTAATAACTTTATTAAACAATAACCCTTATGTTATGCAACACTGCATTTTTTAAACTCTTGCATTTTCATCACACAGATCATTTCCAGGATATTTCAAATCACACTTGAGCCGTGGTAAAAAGAGATGTTTAACATCTACTAAGCAGCTTGTTAAGGCAGGCAGTAAGACCACAGGCCTCAGTTTTTATTTGCTGTCAAAAATCAAAAATTACCTTTGCCAGCTGAGGAGCTTGAACTCCTACAAGCTGGCATGGGGAGACAGAGGTAAGTTTGTGTAGTCAGCATTAAAATCAGTCATTGGCAGACTCATTTAGCCTGAATCATATGCCACAGTCCATTTAGTGTTCCATTCTGCTTAACTGTGTTTTTAACTAAGATTTCTAGACTTCTGGAAGAAACCTTTCCAAAAATGGAATATCTTTGTGGAGGATGGCTCTTGCATAAGGCAACAGGTTTGTTGTTAATTCAATTTTTATGCGTTTCTTTTGGCATTCTTGCGTGCTCATACTGCATTATGATTATGTAGTTGATACCAGAGGCGGAGCCA